CATCTTGGTTGTTATTCAGCATGTGCGCTACTTGCCCCGTCCATTTCAATTTTAGTCCACTGTCTATAGAGCAAGTCTGTAAAAATCCGAACCTTTTCACTTCGAAAGCGAATCCGCTTATCCTTGAATTGGTATTAAACATAAGTAAAGTGAGTTTCAAAATAACTTTGGGATAGTATATCCGAGACACGTATGAATCAATCAATCTTGATTTGTATTTTTATACAAATAGTGGAATCAATAGAATTTCTACACTAATATAAGTTAAGCAAATTCGCTTTCGTACCCGAGGGAATTCCAATTCGAATTCGGATTATTCCAGAATCGTTTATCTGGAGTGACTTAAAACGTTAGTGGAATTTGTTAAATGCCTAACTTTAGTGCGTCTTATTTTTATGAGCATACTGCGTTCATAACATTGGCATGTACAAACCGCTCCAAAGGGAAATTCATAACACACACTAAATAGGTAATAAGTGCCTTCAATAAATAAATAAAGAAAAAAGCAAAATAAACAGTCTATTTCCGATGTACTTATTTACTACATTACATCCTAGTGACCATGAAGTTGAGTTCCACTGCCTTCTATAGGCGGTCATGTTCAACTGCATACGAGTTTTTATAATAATAATAAAACCGATCAAGAGCAAATCGAACTTGCACGCCAGGGGTTCCGTACAAACAATATTTATAAAAGAACTATGACTAATTCATCATCGTAGAGCGTTATATATTCAAGTGGACACTAAAGACAAAAAACAAATTCGCAAGATTGAGACAGAATCATTGAATGAAAAAAGAAAGAAATACCTGGAAAAATGTATGAATTATACGTTCTTCTTCTGTTTCTTCTTTCATTCAGGATGGAAAAAGCGCCAAAAACTATTTTACACATTTTTAAATGTCATCGATCAAAAAATATTTACCAAAAAGCGTTACCTAGCAATGATAGACGTTATAAGTTGCCCTTTTTATCTAATAAGCTTATTGAAAGCAGTTTTGAATTGTATAATTTTTACATCAACCCATTCAGCTATGGTAATCTCATCAATAACAGCCTCAAGTGCTCGCAGTTCTGTCAGATCATACAGCTTCAACGAAATAGAACCTTTATTCCCTTTCGAAGTAAGTTTCATTTGATTTTACGTCTATGCTGTTACAGCACTGTGTTCAACATCAAATTTGAGGCTGTAGGACGTCTTTCGACTGACAATAAAGCGGAAGAAACTTAAAAGCTCTTGGCTAAGTATTGGTCAAGTGTGTTTGCTTAGTTAGATAATTATTTAATAACACTTAATTTGACCTGAATTTTTAACTTTCATATTAGTTTAATATTAAAGATTTACTGAATGATCCCTCTTAAAAAGAAATAAATATTAATATACGGCATGCATCGGTATAAGAAAATAATAAGACCGAAAATTGATAAGGTACGGATTGACCATTATGCGGAGCAATCGATGCGTCCGCGCATACGCCCATGCCGTATTGTCGATTGTTGGATAATGACGAAATAGTACACTCGATACCACACTTCAATATCAAATTCTTTTTTCCGTCGTCCATAGGACTACGTTGTTACCATTAGAGAGATGCCAGCTTAACTATTATTATTATTTTTACAATACAATAGGACTTTGAGATTTTATCGATAAAATCTTAATATGTTCTACAATAAGGTCCCAAGCTTTATACAACAATAAGATATCAATTAGTTAAAAATCTACTGGTAAAAATGCTTATTAAAAACCTCATTATAAGATGTCTAATTATATAACAAATGAGAATGCTTGGACATACGATATTCCAGTAATTTGATGTGTGAGTTTTTTACTTATTATATCTCGAAATCTTCGTGTTACCTGTTATGTTATCATTGTAAGATCATAGTTTTTTATGGTATTGATATTGTATATATGTTTATAATGTACTGACAATGACATAGTTTTTGTGAATGTCGATACTTCCATTAGAGCCAAAAGACTTTCTGAACGAACGTAGGGAAAAAAATGTTGAATGATCATTAATCAATATGGACGTTTACCAGAGCCGTCAATTACAGTGTTTTCCTTATTTCCTACTTTTGAAAAAAACGGAAGCTTTCACATTCGTATAATCTGGACAATAACCTCGTTCTCCGAATGAGATATGAAATGGCAATATCAGAATCTCGCTAGACAAATCGGCACCACATCTGCTTCTTCTGCTTCTCTTAAAAAGTCGATACATTTCACTTGTTGACGATGATTTGCTTTAGATTTCCATAAAATAAGTGCTTCGCATACTTTTGGAATCTGGGCCACGTTATCTAAGTTATATGTTAAGTTACCGACTGTACAAATATCTGATCAGATGTTGTATTTATGCACAGGCTTGCCGGATGCGAGGCCCATTCGACCCACGCCCGCCTACCGCTGGGAAGACATGGGCAACACCATGGCTCAACTTCAGGGTAAATATTTATGGCAATATTATTTCACTGCTCTTATCAATAGACTCACTGTAAATCTGATTTAATTTTATAATATAATTTAACGATTTTAAACTAAGTTTCCGTACATTATGTGATTGCCTATTGATAAGGCACAGTCATAATACTACATACTTTACAATAGCATATACATAACTATTAAGTATGTGTGTTAAAATATTTTGTACCACTGAAAATATATGAAAAACTATGCTGAATCTTACAAATACAATGTATTAGTTTACCCAATCAAATGTCAATACATATATTTTTTTTATAAAAGAAAACCATTTCAATCTTTACGCGGTTTAATTATTCAAGAAATCGCAATTGAGGTTTTCCGAGGTTTTTATAATGATAACTGCCATACCTAAAAAACGAACTATAAAAGAAAGAGACAAGTTGTATTAATAATAATAATTCATTTATTGCATGTCACATAGTAAAACAGGTGTTATTATTAGGTACAGTTTATGTGACACCCTGTAAGGGTGTAGCAGATTAAAATTAAAATTTCATTGTAAATAGTAAATGCTTTAAATAAAATCTTCTATATCTTCACTTTCCTCAATATCTTACATTCATAAAATTATGGCTTGGCTAAACAATTTAAACTCGTTGCAGTCGGAGGACCTCTTAAATTACAAATGTTTCACAGAACGGTTCCCCGATTCCAAATAAAATTTTATTTAACCAATCTAGAATACAACTTATTTATTTTGAGTTCGTTTTTGTCAGTTGCGTTTAAATTATTTATTTTTAATTATTGATGTGAGCATGGCAAGTTTTGACCATTTTATGAAATACGACCATTTCATGAAATAGCCGGCCATATCATGAATTGGTCAACTCTACGATCTGATCACGACGTATACAAAGTATCTATTTTTTTAATGTAAATAATACCTTACATGTGACAACCATATTGTTATAATTGAAGAAATATTATATTTCATATAATAGGTTTCTAATAATATCCTATATCCATTAAGTCTTCTAAAACACTCCTTTTTAGAACTTCCTTTTCCGTGACCATTCCAAGACAGATCTTGGATCTTGAAATCCATTCGATTTTGAAGTAGGCTAAAATTAAATTCAGATGCAAAAATATTCATATTACTTAGATCATTCAACATTGTTTTATCTGTGGTTTTATTAATACTGTACGTACCAATTTTCTTTTAAGTGTTTTTATATATTTAATTAATAGGAAGGAAGTATTTAGACTTCATCTCGTATGAATTACTTCTCAATTAACGTCACTGTTTTTTATTGTTTTAACCTCAGTAATACTAATATTGTGTATTTTCTTTTATTATAAGTTGTTTATGCTAGGTTTTATCCTGTGGCACAATTAACAACTCACTTTGTTTACACATTGTCATAAGTTTAAAACAAATAGTACACATTCAGGTGATTGTCCGATTTCTGCAAACGTATTTTTATTTGTAATTGTTCGCTTATCTGTTTATATGTACAGAATATCTTCATTAAATGATGTGAATTCGGACACATCAATGAATTCGAATTCGGGTTCGATTTTTTACAGAATCGCCCTGCTGATTATAATGAGAGCGATATTGTGATGATTAATGTCACTGTATGCCAGTTGCACAAACGTCCATTAAAATTTTCAATACTTTAAATTTTCATTACCCATACAAATTTGACGTTCATTAAAGCTTTAAGGCGTTATTAAACCTTAATGGACGTTTGTGCAACTCACCGATATCCACTTTTAATAATAATGACAATACTCTCGAAGTAGCGTAAAGTAGGTATGCGATAAGTATTACTAGTATAGTATTTACTATCTAGTATGAACTACTAGCAACTACCAGATTTTGTCGATACTAACGTATGTTAGTAGTTAGATAAAATCTGGTAGTTGCTAGTAGTTCATAGTAAGTATGTATATACTTAGGACATATTTTTATCGATCGTATTGAATGATAATAAAAAGTTAGAATGATCTTACTATCTATTAATAATATGAATCGATAGTAACCTGAAAACCGATGAAGTATAAGTAATTTTTTTTCAAAGTTAACAAAATGAAAAATTTACAATAACTCTAAGGTATTAGCAATATAAGGCGATAAGTACTACTTCGTAGAGTCCTAAACCGTAATCGTGTAGCAAGGATACACAGTAAGGTTTTAGTACGTAGATATCCAAGGGTCTTATGTGAACGGGCAATTGGATTTGGAGGAAAGACTCATATAACCTCGATGTCCGTCGTGAATTTTCCATAATTAACAACATTAATAAATATTGACAACCTGAACAATGGGGTCAAGTATGAAGGCTTCATGGTAATTTTTAAAATAGACCCCAGGCTCAGGTTGTGCTATCACCAATTTTCGATATATCGTGCTCTGTTCTACTATAAGTCACTGAAACAAAAACAAATTGGAGTATATAAGATGAAGAAGCAGTCAACGATATATCAGATGTGTATTTCAAGAGTAAAAACCTTGAATGACGTGCTAAGGATTTTTAATTCATTCTAGAGAAAGGGCCGCAAGCGATGATTGAAGTTAATACTTCTGATTCTCATTCCCCTGAGAATCCAAAGGTAGAAGACCCTTCAACATCCTCCAACCCGGTCAAGAAAGTGCAAAACAAGTTAAAGAGCCATGTTCCTTGCTGCCAATATTGTCTTGAAATTATCTTCGTAATTATCTCCATACTGACATTGGTAAGTTAATGAATATTTAGTGACTTATGTGTGCCTAGCATTCTGGAATGTCTGATGGCATCCAATCCAATATTTGTGATATGTTTGCATTCAATAAAGTTGAAGGGAAGATCAGAACTAAGTAATTGTAAATATTAACTTGTCTTTAGTTCTTAACAAAGTAAATTTTTCATATCATCTTAGAGTTATGCAAAAGAGATTAGTTATGAGTACCGTCACCAATACACTTGACGCATGCTCACGACGATTATTTCAATCGTAGCACGTTAAAAAGGGATTTCTTGTGTATTTATTCTTCCCATTTCAGATAAAAGCGATCGGTGAGATATTCGTAGCGATATCAGGCGCTATATCAACACGTCTGTTTAGCGCTGAGCAGTCGGGACATTTGGTCGGCCTGGTGTTACTGGCGTTGCTAGCAGCCGTCTCTGTATCAATACTGATATATGCATTACTGGCAGTATTTAGGAAGCAAGCGAAACCACTTCATGCTGTAAGAATATCGATATAACCTTATAATATTTATTTCATCATCATCTTATCGCCATCAGCCCTTTTACGTCCCCATTGCAGGGGCAGGCCTTGCTTATGGATGGTTAAGGAGGATAGGCCATGACCCTCCACGCTGGCCCAATGTGGATTGGCGAATTCAGCCGGAACCAATGGCTTAACATGCCTTCGCAGCACGGAGTAGCTCGAGATAGTAATTTTTTGATCTATCATTCCGTGACCGATCCATGCGAAAGTTGCTTAACAACAACTATCGCGGGCCGCGGCGCTTATATACTACTCCACCAAGCAACTCTTTTACTTTAGTGATCAGTATTTAATGTCCATGTTAAGTTTAAACAGATGCTGAACATGAAGTAAGTAAGCATTGTTCAGAGTTAAGAATGCGATCTTCTTCATTGCAAACGCAACTACAACTGTAATTGAATGTCTGCAATGGAATAAAGGCTCATATACTTTGATGGATAAGTTGGTTGCTATACCAACTCCTTCTTGAAGGCAAGATAATGACTAAAAAAAGTAAAAAGTGCAGTTGTTACATGCATAAATCGCCGGTATAACGTATCTTAGCATATAAATAAAGATGCAAACGCATATGAACTTGAGACCACTTTGACTCAACATCCGTTCTTGAAACTAGAAGTATATCATTAACACTGCGATATTTTAAATAAAGTTTTGTACGGATTTTGGAACAAGTGATGATTATCCAAGTTTTACTACATATTTTACTTGGAAACCACAATTTAACCGTCAAGATATCAAGGTCATTAGCACTGGCTAGCCTTCAAGGTCTAATATATTCAGGTTCAAATCGTTTCGTATAGAAGTTGTTCAGGCGGCATATCACGCGAGCTCAAGTGGTTGATTAAAATATAAAACTATATAACCTGATCACCCCTACTACCATGTATTATTAATTACTAAAATAAAGGAAATCCATTTTGTTTTCCAAGCAATATTAATTTCAGGTTTCTTAGCATAATCTTCATTTTGATGCTTCATCAGTTGCCTTTTCATTAAATCAAGACTGGAAATTTTCAAAAGAATTAATTTCCGGTCATTAAGAGAGCTTACAAAACTTAGTTTTAACTTTACGTACTCGAGAAATTTTAGACGTTCTGTTTTGATCAGAAATATAGGACTAGTCAATTGCATTTACTTTCCGTAAAAAAAAAAAACAATGTTATTAGACTCTGATTCAAGCTAATATTCTCAACGTGTTGTTTTTGATAGTTACTGCTAAGAATGTAAGAAGATTTAGGTTTAGGAATATTGGATTAAGTTATAAAATAATCCTCTACAAATGCAAACATGCAACAATTTGTCTATTAATAGATGTGGCATATTTCACAACAGCCCTGCGATTCTCTAAAAATCCAAACCCGAATTCGTATTCACTCAGGTGTCTGAATTCACTTCAAAAAGCGGCATCCGCTCAATCTTGAATTGGTAATAACGTTTCGGGGCATAAGTGAAGTGAGTTTCGAAATTACATAGGAATAGGTTATCTGAGCCAGGTATACTCAATCAATTTTCTTTCGTATTTTTATACAAAAAATGGAATCAAGAGAATTTCTACACTAAATGACGTATCTCACACCTGAAGAAATTCGAATTCGGGTCTGGTCGTTTACAGAATCGCAGGGCTGGCACTGCAATAACTTTTGGTGACAGCGTCTCTTTTAGAAACCTATCCAAAATCGAGTTCCTTTTTCTTTCCAAAATTACGAACAATGGACTTTTGCCTTATTATTTAATAAGATCATAATTTGAATTTGCCAGGACTATGATTGAAAGACATATTCATAGTATTTTCTATTTTTCTTTTAACAGGCAGCTCTCGTACTTATCATCACAGCGGTGCTACAATCAGTTATAGTTGGAATCGCGGTGAGGAAAACCAGTCGCGACAATCGTATCCTTGAGGAGTCATTAAGAGAGTCATTCGATTTGGCCCGACAAGAAAATCCTAGACATGCACAATTATGGGCGGCGATTCAACACGACGTAAGTGCCATAACTAATGAAGTATATTTATATTTTTAAGATTCCCTATCTCGACAAAGTGAAATGTAATACATATACTCATTTAATATGCTCCGAAATGTGATATTGGACAAATGCTTTAAACTTGGTTCATTACCATTATAAATCGAAGAACTAGAACGGGAATGTGAAATTAAACATGAGGTGCATTTTCAGGGGATAAAACAGAAAACAAACAACAAAAAAATGCAAACATGATCAATCTTCATCTAATATTTAAATGAATACTTCTTTAAAGTTATTTTAGAAAAGATACTCGTACAACGTTTGGCCATTGCCCCTTATCTCTGAAACGATTGAACATAAAAACTATTATTTCGTATCGTTTGAGGAAAATCATCATCGTCAGCTCTTTTATGTCCCCACTGCAGAGGCTCAGGCCTTCGTTATGGATGGTTAAGGAGGATGGGCCATGACATGACTCTCCACGCTGGCCCAATGCGAATTGGTGGGTATGAGCCACTGCAAAATACAGCCGCGACCAATAGCTTAACGGTGCCTTCCGAAGCACGGAGTAGCTCGAAATACTTTTTTTTGGTCACCCATCCCGTGATCGACCATTGCGGGAGTTGCTTAACAACATAATCTTACTTTCCCACGACTCCTAGGTTGGCTGGAAGAGATCTCTTATAGAGATAAGCCCAACTTGTAACTAATTTATTTACTTGATTTTATGTAAAATTTTGAGTGCAATAAAGAGTACTAATTTGTCATTTTATTTAATGACCGATTCTTCCTGACAGCTGACCTGTTGCGGTCTAAACACCCCATACGACTACAGAGCGTTGAATCTCCCCGATGTTGTCCCACCGAATGTTCCCATCTCCTGCTGTCCCACATACGATCCATCGCGATCCGACCTGGTGCAGGAGCGGGACAGGCAAACGTGCAAGATGAACAGAGTTTATTATACTGAAGGCTGCAGGAAACCTGTACATGAAGTTATAAGGACTACTACGGATTTGGTGTTGGCGTTGACGATCAGCCTTGTAATTTTTGAAGTGAGTAAATACTTTTTAAGATATGAAAAATAGTTACATATAGCAGCACCTTAGGTTATATGTAGGACCACGGCAACATTTTTCATTTAACTTTCATTTAAGGACCTAAGTACTGTACCTAAGTAGAAAGGCGTTGTATACACGACTGCAAGTCTAGTTACCATAATACTACACGTACGAATTAACATGACACCTAAAGGCCTAATCCAATTTCCGAAATCTCTTTTGAAATTCTAATATTACTCCAAAGAAACACAATATCCTATAATTTATAATGGAACGGAGGTAGGACCTGACAATGCCTCTAATACACAGTCTTCATGGATATCATTTCAACAAAATTGTTTCAACCATTTGAAATTTTTTGACGACAAATAAAATAGTGCCTCAGGTGTCATGTTAATTCGTACGTGTTTCTGCAATGGATTTTTGCCTCACTTTTGTGTGGGTTTTGACGGTTTTGTAAAGATAGTCTGGCGGACAGTTGACGTATATACAACTACGAAGTATTTAAAAAAGAAATCACCAAAAAGCACCTCCACTAGATGGCGACTTCAGCAAAAGTTTAAGTTTGCAAGAAATTAAACGATAAAGTACAAATAGAATACGAGTTGTTTATTGAGTTTTGAAAACTAATTAACTTTTATAATGAAAGTAAACCGGAAGAGTTGTCACGGAGAATTCAAGAAAGTACCGTAGCAATATCTAGTTTGATTTTGGAATCTAATGTTTTTTTTAAAAGCTTCCTGATTACAGCAACTTACGTTTTATTTTTGCAGGTAATTTTGTCCATCCTGTCAGCAATATTACATAAAAAAATGAAAAAACTTAAAGCTATCAAGAAAGTAAAAAAGGAACCTGAACAAGTGTAATTTTTATTCCATTTTTTTTAAGAAAGACTAGTTGGTGTAGAAGTTGACAACGCCATCTGTAAACATTATTTCAAACTTTAAACCAGTAATAGTAGGAGGTTTGTGAGAAAAAGCGCCATCTATTATTTAGGAAGAAGCTATTACAAGATTGCGAGCGCCAATTTTGACGCTGAAGACAACCTTATACAATGTGACAAATCTAGATGGCAGCACATTTAAAATAAAAAAACAACGAAAGTTATTTAAAATATGAATATTTATATTTCAAATCGATCTTTTCTTAAGATGAATATGTTTAATTTGTTGCATTTAAAAATGTCTTCTTATTTATACTTAAGTCGTTAAGAGTGTAGAAATCGTTATTTAAATAATAAAGGACTACGAGACTATTTGTTTATTTACTTATAAAAGAACAAAAAATATCACCTTATCCAAAAACCATACCACAGTACAAAATACTGATTAGCACATAGAAATCTATTGTCACTTTTATATCACATTATATTAGTGCAGTATATAGAAAGTTTTCATTTATAGAAATGTAGCATCGGTGGTTCAGTGGTAGAATGCTCGCCTGCCACGCGGGCGGCCCGGGTTCGATTCCCGGCCGATGCAATCACTTTTTTAGTTTCGAGACATTATTTATAACAAGATATGAGGGCATAATTTCTTTCTGCATTAAAAGTTTGCCTTCACTTAAAGAATAACAATTAAAGGTATTACATAAACTAACTGCTTTTTATAGGAGACCATTAATTCTGCATGATTGCTAATTAATTACTTCTGGAAAATAGTATTCGGTGCGTTTGTTATTTATTCAAAACGTTGCTTGAATGATAGAGGAACAATGGAAGCCATCAAGTTTTTCACATTATTATTTTTAATATATTTAATTAATCGAACCTGTGCAGGTACGTAAAATTTTAATAAATACACAGCAATATTAATGAAACTGATGCTGGGCCTTTTTCGAAGCCACTGGACCATAGGGACCTCACCGTGTATATCAATTTGTTACGAAATACGATTTTTAATAGTTGTACACTATTAACATGACTTTACATGACTAATTAAATTTCTCTTTTAATCAACTAATAACTTTCAGGGTATTAGTTATATGTATTACTTAAGAACTAACGCGACTCATTCTGGACTTCATTTGTATGGCGGTTTATCTTTCTTATGGTATTTTTCAAAAATACATGCAATAATAGATAAATACGTTTCAAAGTCGTTTTATTTAATAAATAGTGTAAATAAAAAGCAACTGCAAATTATTCATAATTTTTAATTCATTGAATGTCTTTGTCAGTTTTTTTTATTATAACTCATGCGTAATAGTTTTATTGTAAAAAATATCAGAATCCTAGATATTTTCCCGTCACCCGCGTATAATGTAGCTTCCCGTAGGTGAAAGAATTTTAAAAATCGGTCCAGTTCAGTTTCGGAGAATATTCAAGACAAACCATCAAATCTTTACTTTATATATTAATGTAGATATTCCATAATTATTGGATACTATAATATGAAGATATAAATATATATTATTGTCGATATTTTATGTTTTCATACTGCACTTGATTATTTGGTTAACAATCAAGGGTTGTCAACCGTACGGATTTCTCAAAATTAACCTAGTTTTAAAGGCGTCCTGGAAGTGTACGGGCGGCAGTTTTATTTAGCAGTCGGGGACAATATTTTGTGCGTACTATCGTTTGTAAGGTACGAGGGTGTGTTACGTAACAGAAGAAAGGATACGCATGTCCGGATCTTACTCTTACACTCAAACAGCCCGGCTCTTTTGAACTCCTTGGCTTAGTTTTAAGATAAAAACCAAGGGTTGGGGTATCCGCTTTAACATATTTTTTTAATAACAGAGAAGAATTTCCTTATCTTCGCTGAGATTTTCAGTTCTTCTGACTACATAATTTGGGCAAAAGACCCCTTTAAAATAATTGAACTAATACTAATACCTCAGATCCCTATACCCTTATAACCACACTATTCTAAGCTCTAGTAAAGTTCTTTTCTAATGATACAAAATACTAACCAACTTTTAAACTTTTTGGATAGTCAAATGCGTAAATTTTACACCATTTTCTCATAAATATTATCAAAAAATTGCCCTAGAATTCATATCTAATGTTTTAAGTTAATAACGTACGTAATATGAATTAAGTTACATTATTTTATACAGATTACGCAAAAATACGTGTATATAGACAACACCACTACAATTCATTCTTGTAACAGGTTGGATTACTGGCAAATACAAACGGCAAACAATGAACACAAACACAAAGGGCAACCAATCTACACGTTTGTGGTTGATGATCGTTGTTTGCCAAGCGTGTGGATATCGTATTAATCAACTTTCTTTTATAGTGGTACCAGACTATTGCTTAACACCTCTCAATATTAGTGATTGTAAGATGAAACCAACACCAGTTTTCTACTATTACAAGCCAGGGTCCCGGTGCGAAAAGGCACTGTGGAGAGGATGTCCCACCATGAATATGTTCCAAGACCAGTACCAATGCGTGGACAAATGCATATATAAGATGTTCAAGAAAAATATCGATGAGAACACTATCCTGCCTCCGGTTAGAGTAACGAAGAATAATACACAATGTAATGTATATATCTTAGTGTCTTGTGAAAATTTTGTAAACATGCCGTAACCGTGAAATATAACCAGATTTTATGGTGCATCTTAATCCATAACTTTCATTCTCAATTTGTCAGATTCATGTGAAGATTATTTCAATGGAAAGAAGTGTACTGATGAAGAAATCAGCGTATTTACATACGATAGAACTTCAGATACATGTGCGCAAGCAACATGGAGAGGATGTCCGACTACCAACAAATTTTTCAGTTTACACAGCTGCCTCAAATACTGTAAATTGCACCACGTACATGCCTATGAAGATTGGAGAGCCGAACTCGATGCTATCTCGAATAATGACGCTAAGGTTATCAACGAAATCGTCGATCATATATTAGAAGATTATGGTAAAGGAGTAAAATGGGGTAGTCATAAATTAAAAGGTGTGAACATAACTGAATTTGAAGAGGAAGAAAGTAGCAAACCCTCAATGAAAACTACTAGAGAATACCAGGAAACTACTAAAGAATACGAAGAAACACGAGAACACGAGAAAACTACTACGGAACACATAGAAACTACCACAGAACATAAAGAGACTGCTACAGAACACAAGGAAACGGCTATGGAACTGAAAACTACTTTGAGAACTGAAGAAACTACAAAATACGAGGAAACAACTACAATTACTTCGCTAAAGAACAGAACGATTCCTCCATCAGAAAACTCAACAGTAGTTACCAATGAAGGTATTACAAAACTAACAACGCAAAAGGAGCAAAAACCCAATGAGTTGCCAGAAGAGACAAGATTGATTGAGTACGAATAAATTGATATTGCTAAGTTTTTTTTTATAAGATGCAGAAGATGATGTAAGAATAAGAAATTATCTCAAAATTAGCCTAAAAATACACCTTAATGTGAATTTTATTTAAAATTGTTTATTTAAAATATTAATTGGATGCCAACTCAATAAGTTATATTGGCGTAATTGCTTACTTTCAAATAAATACCTACCTATCGTAGTATCGGCACATACCAACGTACTGGGAACGATCTCGATAAAATATCGATAAGATCAAGCTGCATCCGTATTCTTATATCGATTTCAATAGTAATTGACACAATAATGGCGAAGCTGTCTTCGTATTTCAAGGTATACTCACCCAATCAAAAATCATAGTTTATTGTTTCAGATCTACTTATCTTTTTGTATTTTCTAAGTATTTATTGAAAAGCGTTTGAAATGTGCATATGTTAATTCCAAAATTAAAGTTTTGTTGCAGTTTCTATGTTAGGTAGCTTAGTTGTTTCAAATTTCAATATTAGAAGTGTCACAGACTATTTATTTTGGTATCTGAGCCTTGTACGTGATATTATCAAATATTTATTTATAATTTATACAGTTTTTAATGTACTGATGTTACACTTACACGCTTTCTTTAGTAAGCCCGTATACAGATAAAAATAATTAAAAGATTGAGTTGGTAATGTAATGTTGATTTTAATATTTTTGATGACATAATATAGACACATAGTTAGTTTCATGGATATTTCATCGACTAGCTATCTGACATTGACAATAGTATCTTTGTCAGTTTTGAATACATTATAAACAAATTATTCTCCCGCTATTTCGCCCTCGTAAATTATAGCCATTATAATCAGCGTATGGTGTCGTCGTAAACGGTTTTCTAAATTGATCCAGTAATTTCTAAGTCATTCAATGCAACCAAGGAATAAAATATGTCCTCGTTAAAAAACAATATAAGTATAGATGTGACTTAAATACAGAATTCTGGTGATTCCTGTCTAGACAAATACATTTAAATATACTTTTTTTATCCCCTGTAACACGTTCCCATAGCTAATGAAAATGAACCGAAAGTAATTGCGTAAGTAGGTACACTACAAAAAGGTCTTATCATCGTGGTATGGTATTAATTTAAAAAGTTAACTTTGGTATTCACGTTGGCGATACAACAGTTACGAAAGGTCGATGCGGGATTTATCGGGCCGCAAGCAGCCAGTTCTGACATTTAAAGTTCACAACTTGTGTGTTAGTGTTACCTAGATTTGTTTGTATCGACTAATGTTTGTTGGTTTTTAATTAATTAGACACTTAATATTACAAAGATGATAATTGATGAACCAAAAATTGATAATTTTTGATAAGTTTTACTCAATGTGGGTACGAAAAGAAGCATTCTTCTTCAACCGTGGAAGTGTTGCCAAACAATACAGAGCCAATGCAGTTTTTATAAGGTTTAATAATTAATAAATTGCTCCATAATATTTATGATTTCATTTGGATGAGCCTTTAAATGTATTAATTGAGATGGATTTCAAATAATATTCCGCCAAGAAATATCCAAACTTTTATAATAGCAAATATTCCATAAATGGAGGCAATTAGTTTGATTTGAATGTGTTGAATCCGTATTCTAATATTTATAAAACATTTAAAATAACATACATCACAAGGTAATTACTCTCAGAATATATTCAACATTATATTTCAAGGATTAGCATTATAATATTGTTATAGTTACAATATTACTTCCTATCTTTTAGTTGCCTAGCTGAAAACGAAGCTACTATTTATTTTATAATAATAAATCAAAATTGATATGGGCCGACATTATTCATCGAACTAGCCCCTGGGACTTGCGGATTGTATTTCGGGATTTGCTAGACGATGGGTACATCCGGCATGCCGTATCGTACATTTTAGCCATCTTTTCATCCCAAAATGATGAAGTTGATCTTTAGAGTTACTTAAGCATATAAACACTCAAACAAGTCCAAGATGGTGGAAACTAATCTTAATCTTATAATACCAGTATTCCTGTTTTTCATTCAGTTAACTCATCTCGTTTACAGTAATTCAAGAACACGAAATTTATGTACAGAATTATATGTTACAATATTTACAAATTATTTCTAATTTGACAGTTTAAGTTGACTTTTGGAATTAGTAAGCTTCATAGAGTTATTATAAGTATTATGTTTGAAACATGTTAATATTTAAATTCTACTTATTTTTATAATGGCATAATAATTTTCGAATAGGAATACATTTGCCAAAGTTAAACTTTATTTTAAGAATTATGTAATAGTAAAACAATTCAAATTGAACTTTTAGAGGATGGTCATCTGTCATCTCAACTTCGGATTTATTCCGAAACTATAACAATGCTATACTGTAAATTCTGCGCTAACCTCGTCATATCGTGCACAGCGCTGTCACAGGGCAGAGATCAAATCAAATACTTCAAAACACCTACGCTGTAACAGCACTGTATGTCGGATTTGAGCCTTATTGCAGAATATAGCTGGTTCGATTGAATTGAAAGATGAATACGATATCTGACGTAAATTAAATTGTTTTCAACGTTGTAACAATTTTGGGGAGTAATTTGGAAATTATAAACTAGTACTAAGCACATACGGTGACAAATCAAAGAAAGAGATTTGTGAGAAACATATATTTTTTAACGCGAAAGTTGATTATTTCCCCTTTCAGCTCTACGAGCACAGTGCTGTCATAACTTAGAAGTTCAATCAAATAAAACCTACAAAGTACCAAAGGTTTAATAGAATAGCTAAATGTTCTCCGAAACCACTGAAAAAATATATAATTATAGGAACACCTATGATATAATGAACAGGTTTGTACGAAACCTTCGGCACCGTGATTTTGTGTCCTGCTGCCTGTCACAAGTGTACTATTAGGTTACTTCATACAAATGACAGGGGCACAGTTATCAAATAAAACAATAAGAAGTATACAAAAATAACGAATTAATATCATTGTACAAGAAATCCAAATCATGAATATGATAAGTACCGTAAATATATGTATATCTACGGAGCTGTCAAAAATAATATCACAAAAAATTTCAATGAGGGTGTACAAGCTTAAGAAGCATGCATGTGAGATTTTTTTTTGTAGCAAAAGTCTCGCACTTCTCACACACTAGCAGATATCATGTTGATTTTACACTTTGTCCGTCCGTGTGATTTTTCACAAATAATATGAATACATTATTAATGCGTCGTGTTCCTCATTTACAATGATAATATCTCATTAAAGTTTATAATCGTTTGTATTATGATATGGAAAAGTCTATCATGTATGCTGCTTAACGAAAAATTTAATAGCCGGTTTCTGAATTAAGGAAAGTAGAAAATCAAAACTAAGTATTCTCAATAACTTAAGTTACAGTCGTAGTTTTATCAAACCGCTATCCAGTTGAGATCATTAAATAAACATTATTCAGAAACCAAAATTTGTTTAAGTGACGTTTAAGTAGAGTTTGAGACGTACATAACTTTAAATTTTCAATTCAGAAATGTATATAGTCACCGGGTTTTTTTCGGTCTCATCATTTCTATAAAACACGTGGTGCGATGCAGTCCAGCATACTAATTCGCATTCAACTTTAGGGAATGCGAAGGATGATCATGAAAGGAATCATGTGTTTTTAGTAATAATTTGATTCTAATCAATGTTGAATTTAGTGCAGCTTTCTGGGTAGAAAATTAAATTTTATATTATAATTTTTAATAATTTAAATGGAGTATTTAAATCTTAATTTTTTTGTAACAAACTGATAAAGATACAAATAAATTAAGAATTGCCATTACATTATGCGATCTTGTGTGAATGTTCCTAACTATATACCATGCCCATTTCTGCTTTATAAGAAAGAAAAATAAATATGTTTTATTTTAACCAAGTAGAAACCAATAGATTTAAATACTGTGTCCAGATTAGTCTGTGTCCAATGTTTTCTGCACCCGGATGGCAGTGGCAGCCCTAAGCTAACGTATGTAAAACAGTGAAGTGACATGTTTCAATTAACGGTGATTTTATAACTTCGATCCAATTCTCACAGAATATTGTCTTATTGCGTTGTTGTTTGCAGAAAGATAAAAATAATGAGAATTTTTATGTTGCCGACAAGAAAGCTTTCGATCCCAGTAGGATAGTAGGATTATAAGAGCCTCAATCGTGTTTTTCAAATACCCTCTTCTGCAAGATACTACACTGTAAGTATCCTATAAATTTATATTTACGAAGTAAACAATAAAGAATGGTGATATCAAAAAGATTTTCATAGAGAATATAAAATTTTATACATAGTCACAGATGAACAATACAATATCGTCTCTGACGACCTATTTCCATTGACAGATTTGGGGGATTTTCGTATTCCGTCCAGTCATAAAAACTATGAAATGTGGAACCTAAAAATCATACACTGCAAAAATGAGGTCTTACAAAAAACGAAATCACTGAACTAGGGAACGGAGGCTTTTACATGATTTAATCTAGTGATAATGAATGTATGTCAACATATTTTTGAAATAAAATATTATTACCATCCCATATCAACGCCGGGGCCGTTATCACTTGAGAGACCCGTATCGGTAACTGTTAAAAGAATAAATCTGGTATATAATACCAAGGACTTATATCTACATCGGTAACTACGCCCCTGTTGAAAGAATAAATTTGGAATATAATACCATGGACTAATAATATATCTACACGGTGGTAGGTATATAAAACGCATTGTAAGACTTCTCTGCTATTATTATTTTAAAATGGGTATCATATTATTTTAGGTACATATAATAAGCATATCATATCAATTTGACACTCAATTTTATACTTACCGAGTTTCATAGCAGTAACTAGAAAGATTCTCTATAATAAATTATATTTATTCACAAATCGTAATTATGACATCAAGGACATTCCCAGGGTCACCCTCTTGCAAGGGTTGACGGTCAAGGTCATCCGATCCGGGAGGGCTGCGTCATTGTAATTGCGAAGGGGTCGTTTGTTTCCTTAGAGATAAAGTATAGAGGGTCGGTTAAATTGTTACGTTTTAGAAAGATACAGAGAAACTTATGGTGGACCTGGTGGAGTGGATAAATTTTATCTTTTTAAATATATTCAGAATCAGAGTAGATAACAAGGAAATTTTGAAAGCGGAAGATGTAGATTATGGAACGTCCCGGTTTGATTCAATTTCTTTGCCAAAAGATGGCGTTGGTGTTCTAATTTGGTGATTTTTATTTCTCAACATAATTTTTTCATACTTTTATTAGTAAAGTAAGTATGTGTTTTGTTTTGAACTTATAAATTATAGGATAAGTATCGAAATATAATGGATATAGATGAATAAAATTTACAATTTATATTTAACCGTATTTGCATAAGTTTGGTAAAAAATACACTCCTTTGTATGTTAAATCATATTAACATATACGTAACAGAAGCATTTACATATTTACAAGGAAAGTAAATTATAAAAAAAAAAGTTGCATCGGCCGGGAATCGAACCCGGGCCGCCCGCGTGGCAGGCGAGCATTCTACCACTGAACCACCGATGCTGACAATCAGTGATTTGAAATACACTATTGGTTGAATAAACTCTAACTCAAGATCTATATTAGATAATTGAATCAATTCTCATACATTTTTAAAAATCAGAAATTTTAATATTGATTTATAGGTACGAAAAAACTGAAATGCTCGTCTGGTTTATAATGAGTTTTCGCTAGATGGCGCTAAAGAGAACAACAAATTGCGTTTATGCAGCAGCTGATCGACCGCACAGCGCACCTGACGCATGACGGCATAACCCGCGAGCGACCGGTCGGTTATCCAGTCGCTTGACGACGAACGTACGTCGACTCGATAGGTACGAACTGTTTTCAGCTCAGTCGCGGATCGCGCGGTGCCGTGTTTTGACGTATGGCTGCCGCTCGTCGTGTGATTCATGTTTATTTATAAACGGAACACTGATTACGTTCGAATGATTCGATAAGTATCTCCTCCGTTGATTAGAGATTTGAATTATGAACGCTAAACGAGATGCGTGATTTTTCTTCGCTTCGACTGTTATCTGTTATCATACTTATGGAACAGTATCGATTAAAAGATGACATGGAAATGTAGTACAGATTTCGCAGTTACTGTGTCTAGGTCAATCGATTCGGGATGGGCTAAAAGTTGTTTTGTTTAGTTGGAACAACAGGCAGTGCAATGTTTTTGTGATTTGTATACCTACCGGAAACGGAAGTCAATTGGCTTATCAGTTCAATTAGTGGATAGTGTTTTCTTTTCTAGTGGCGTAGGAGGTGATAAATAAAACAAGAGATAACGTTTTTAATTTTATTTTTGTGTTTTAAAAAATATTGAGAAAATGTTTGGTGTTTTTATGAAGCGTTGGAAGCCTAAAAGGTAACATTTTGCTTATTTCTAGGCATAAGTACCTTTAATAAATTGAAATTTCTTTGTTTGAAAACTGAAACTTCTTGCGTAAGTAGGCAGGTACATGCAGGCTTTAAATATATGCTTTAAATTAATTGAAATAATTATTCCTGTTCCTTGGGAAACAAATACCTACCTACTGTTGACATTCGTGACATCGATTCAAGCAATTTTTAAGTACCTACCTACCTACAAGATTGATTGAAGACTGACCTATTTTTCATTACTCAGCATTAAAATTTACTTATGCTAATGAAAATACATTAACCTAATACCTACTTCCTCGAATTCTAAAAGGTTTAATTCTATTAGCATGGACTACCTTTATTCTATAACTTCCTAACCTTTTAATTTATTATTACTAATTGGTTGTATTATTTGATATGGTCCAACATAAGGACGACCTATTTTCTTGCTAAGACCAGTCCTTCTTTTAGGATTATATAATAAGACCAATTGCTTAGCACGATATAACACTAATCTAGCTTTGCGATCATAAAATCTTTTCTGTACTAAATGAGATTTTATCAGATTTTGTTTTAACTTTGATATTCGAGTTTCATTTTCTCTGCTTCTAAATGTGACACTTGAAGAATTTATATTACGACCTAAAGTATAATCAGATAATATTTCTGGTTCCCTAGCGAACATAATAGAATAGGGAGACAATTTTGTAGATTCCTGTTTAGAACAATTATAAGCGTGTGTCACTAAAGGTAAATACACACACCAATCATTTTGACTATCATTTACATATTTAGAAAGCATTTGTAGCAAAGTTTGATTAAACCTTTCTACTAAACCTATTGTTTGTGGATGCATAGTGGTTGCAAAACGTTGATTTGCACCAAAACGACACACGGTATCTCTCATTGCCCTTGAAGTAAAAATCGACCCTTTATCTGACAGTATTGTACGAACTGTCCCAAATCTACAAAATACCTCCTCTACAAGAAAATTACACAACGACTGAGCTGATGCTCTACGGACAGCCCTTCATATGGCGTATTTAGAAAACGCCTCAACACACGTAATAATATACCTTTTGCCTGATATGGATCTGTTTAGTGGTCCTAAAATATCAATCTCTATGAGTTCAAATAATCGATCAACTGATATTGGTTGTAGTGGTGCTATTATATGAGATTTCTTCTTTTGTTGACACATCACACAAGTTTTTATATAATGTTCTATCGCCGACTCCGCGTTTTGCATAAAATATCTTGAACGAAATTTTGCTAAAGTCTTACTCAGACCCAAATGACCACCAGTATAGGGATCATCGTGTATCTCTGACATTACATCTGGAAATAAAGACCTTGGTAACACTAGTAATTCTTTATTTACACCATGAATATTACGACATTTATACAATAAATTATTCAATATACAAAAACCTTTATATCTTCCACGTGGATTGTTGACGACTGCTCGTGATTGTTTTGACAGAACCAGTCATCCGCCTGTTTTTGTTGCAGTTGCCGGGCTTCTATTCTATATACACGAAGGCCATCATCTAACTTTTCGTCCGTTATACCTTTTTGTATAATATTTGGATGTTCATCTTCAATCAACGGGTTTCTACTAAGAAAGTCTGCTATGACATTTTCTCGTCCAGCGCAATGAACTATTTCAAACTCATGGGCTTGAATGGCCAACGCCCACCTGGCTAGTCTACCATTCATGTCTCTACGCTCTTTTAACCAATATAGGGCTTTGTAATCTGTTACAATCTGAAACTTGAGACCCCACAGGTAATGACGGAAATAATTTGTGGCCCATACGACAGCTAAACATTCCTTTTCCGTTATCGTATACTTTTTTTCACAATCACTCAATTTTCTAGACGCGAAAGAAACCGGAAACATTTGTTTTTTCCCTTGCATAAAACACGCTCCTAAAGCAATGTCACTCGCGTCAACATATAATCTCGTTATAACATCATTAGAATTATCAAAGTGTTTCAGTAATGGCGGATTCCGCAAAAGTGTCAGCAAATTGTCAAATGCGTTTTGTTGACTCTCAGACCACTCAAACTTAGTATTCTTTCGTAATAATTTGTTTAATGGTACAGTCAACAAAGCAAATTTATCAACGCATTTTCTATAATACGAAAAAAACCCAACACTGATTTTAATTCTTTTGTATTCGTAGGAGTCTTTACAAATTTTAATTTATGTAATTTATTTTCATCTGGAAGTATTCCAAAACCAGAAATAGTATGACCTAAAACAGAAACTCTATTAAAACCAAAATTACATTTTGATGGTTTGAGAGTTAAATTCACTTCTTTTAATCTTGATAAAACTTGGTCCAAAGCATCGTAGAATTCCTTAAATGTTCTTCCGTACACAATAATATTATCTACATATATTATTGCACACCTATACTTTAATCCCGCTAGAGCTTTACTATTTTTTTAGTCGGTTCTTGATATCCATTTGCTGCTGCTATAATATTAAATTGAGAAAAAAAATCAGCCACATCACCTTTTAATCCGTCGTATTTCTCCATTTTCGTTTTTTTCGTTTTTCGTTTTCTCGCTTATATGTTTTCTCCGCTTGGCTTACGAGAGGTATCGCTGTATTTCGAAACGTTGCGCCTCCACCATGTGGCGACTTATGGCAACTTAGTCTTATGGTGGAGGTGGGTGGCGCAATGAAAAAACTGGTAGAACTCCTTAGTCTTGATTTATTTCTGATAAGAATTACAGTTAAGCACTTACAATAATTATACTACGATGCTCACCCTAAGCTGGTCTCGATCAGAAAGAAAGACTATTCACCAGCAAAACACGAACACGCGAATTCGAATAAGAAAAAGTAATAATTTAAAATATTAACGGCCAGCACTTGACCATAAACCGTCCGAAGAGTAAACCCTACCTATAGTAATGTGCTCGGACGTTAATCATGTTTCATCCACTGAGTTGAACAACTCCGCAGTTTTCAATTTCACGCAACATAGGTTTGTTTTCCGGCTTAGATAAAACTGAAAACTTTATTGTATAGGATCTGTTGAAGTTTGTACAACTAGTAATTTAATTAATTTCCTATACTTATATCACAGAAAATGAAAAATTTCAATAAAAGGTTTACCTACAGCATTCGTCAGGGCTGAATCTAGGGTTAAGTGGTGGGCCCTGTCTGGCCGCCAATGTCAGAGGGCAAAAAAATCATAACTAATACCTATAATTCGGTAAAAATTCATACACATTAGAGCTACGATGTACCTTCATGTTTTCAAAATCCTTATCAAAGCGTCAACTAGGAACAGAGGATGGCAAATACAGTTTCATTTAATTGCTTTCAAACTATTAGGATTAATTGTTGCATTATTTCCTCAGCTACTCGTATATCTCTGAATTATAAAGGTGAAAATTACAACAAGAAATGGGAAAAATGTGCATCTTGGGCAAAATTTTGCAAAACTGTACCATCGCTCACACCTATAGTTAGTTAGCGGGATAAACAAAATAAAACAACTTAGAGAAATAATTTATTTTTATTCGACTACAAAAGTGATGAATCCAAGGGGTTGATCGTGGAGGTCATGAGTATTTCCTTGAAAGGGTTTGATTGTTGACGCTTTACAGTTCAATAATCTGTGTAAACAGAAAATTGAGATTCATTTTTGTATGATTCCTTTTTAGACAATCTTATAAAAATATATAAACGAAATATTTTTTACTAGAAATGGTTTACTGGTCTTTTATTTGATGAGTGAACTGATTATTTATATATTTACAATGCTTTGTCCTGAATAACTCATTGACAGATCAACAAACAGCCTAAATCACTGATCATAGTCCTGGATTTTGTAAGACGTGTTCTTTAAAGAACGTAGTTTTCCGGTAAGAAAGAATTTCCCGAAATTCTATTCATAGGAGAATGCAAAACTGGGGCAAAGTTTGTATGGGACAAAGTGATTTCTTGGTATGATTTACTTCAAAATTTGCACTTTTTTAACAGAATTGATGAAAGACGTGTTTCGTATTAAAAAAACAATTAACTCCTAACGAGACCAGTTAATAGTATTAATCTTAATATTAAATTAATTTTATAATTAATATAATTCTAAATAGGGGATAAAACTGGTCTAAAATGAGGCAGCAGGTGGACGAAAACCAGATTTTTTGGACGAAAATCAGGAAATCGGCTTTTTCACGTTAGAATTTAAGTATGAAAAAGTATTAATCTGAATATTAAAAACTATACAACTATTAAAAATAGACTATATTTTGTGTCACCACTATATCGGAACATTCATATTTTTATGCTCGAAATTGGCAACTCCAGTAATTGGATGAAAACGGGCTAGCCTACTAAAATGTGTATCTAAGTATTTTATACTCACGTAGATGCAATATCCATCTTATACCTACCTACCTTTGTTTATAAATCAATAATGACATCATAACATAAAATCGAATCAGCTAAAGTTAATTTGATGATCATACATGTTTACATGCAATGTTACTTACGTAATTATAAAATACCTACCTCTTATTTTAATATTGTTATACATAATTATTTTTTTATCGGACGGTACAGTCATATTTAAATAAATATTTTGGCAAGGATTTAGTAAATAGTTTTAAATTTATGTATTTGTAATCTAATCATCATCATCGAAAAAGTTTCTTCGCATTTTATGTGAAATTTCAAAATATTTTTAATAAAGTTCATTTACATTTAATTAAAGTATGTACGTAACATTTTGTTCGATAACTTTTTGCAATCTTGTAGGTTGGGACGTGATCCCATTGCTATAGAACATTTGGGGCTTCTGGTTGAAAAAGCTCGAGAAGTGGTTTGGTAGTCTCCGTGTGATATTAATTTGACACTGCTTAAAGAATTTTGAAGACACCCAAACAGTCTGAAGGTGCAAGGTCAGGACTATACGACGGATGCATTAACACCTCCCAGTCAAACTCTTAATTTTTGCTGAGTGGTAAAAGATGTGTGAAG